AAATTTTTTCGAAAGGTTATATCGGTATTTATTCTTACAGTCTTGATTAACAAAAGTAATAATTTTATAACAGATTTAATACACAACATTTTAATAATTATCATATATGGTCCGAAAATGTGAAAATTTTTATAGTAGACAGTGCATACTGTAGGTAACCTAGTTTTGCTAATTTTGCATACTTTTCGAGTAAAAAAAATATTTACATTAACGATTAACTACTGGTATCTTTAAGAATCGAAAAGAGATGATTAAATAGTATTAATGTGAAAAAGTTTGTATTTTCCATGCCAATAATACTCGGTTATTATTTCTTCCTAAAAAACGTCTTATGAAAATAAAGTTGTGAAAAATACTGTATTATTATTTCGCTTTTTTCACAAACTAGGGAACATCGTTTGCAGCAGCTCATTTCTTGATTGTCAAAAGTTTTCAACCTGCTTTAATGAGAAAAATATTTAAATGCAGCGACGTCTCCAAACTCCTCTATACTCTCCACCTGAATCGCTGACGATGGATGTCACCGATCGTCAGCGCCACAAGCGGAGAAAATATTAACTAGCGTCTATACGCTCGGTCTCAGAGAGAGATAGTTGGCGGACAGCCTTACTAACGAAGCGATCAAGTGGCCTTGATTATACTTTATCGTGGAATGAGAAGAAATGCACAAGAAGCAGAATGTAGATTCTTTCAGCGTTTTCAGCATGCAATACACTGCTTGGTGCAAACTGGTAGAACATTCGGGAGTCTTGGTCCAGGTTACTCTTGTCTACATGACATCAAAGCATTTTGTCTTTCTGCTTTACAATGAGACAAAATGCAGTAGTCTAGCATAGCTTTGTGCAAAATGTCAAAACTAACATTTTTAACATTATCCTAGTGTTCATTTAAATGCTTTAATAAAATTTCCTTTGGCCTAACAACAATATATAGTGGGCGATTGGTTAATGAACATCTCACAGAACAAACACAAGAAGAAAAATGAAAAGCGATGTAAAATAATGAATACTGATTGGTCTTCCCTTGTCTTCAGACAATAATTTGAAACTTTTTGGAGCACGGGAGACGTTGACATCGACATTCAACCAGGTATATAATGATGGGATAGTATTCCTCTGAACTTTGAATATCTCCCTTGTAATTCCATCCTTTTATTTTTCCAACAAACAATTTTTATAGTATTTGCAAGACTGTCAGGCAGGCACTCATTAAGTTTTGTGTCGGTTTTTATTTTCAAAAGGCGAGAGTATAATAGCAAAGGTAGAGAGTGGGTAGATGTCTGTCCTTGCTGGGCAGCATGGCTTGAACAGGTCTACAGTAGGCCACAGTTCAATCTTATCTAAGAAAGATTGTATTATCAAAAAGACTTAAGCAGCTTAAGGAGTAACAAAAATCACACCTGAGAAATAAAGAACATTGAAGAGCCCATAATGGAACCCGAAACGGATCTGACGACAGAAGAATGCCAAGAACTCTTGAATGAAGAACACCAAGAAACTTGGTCAGATATGTTTTCTTCTGAAAAAGAGAATCCTGAAAAGAGAAAGAGATCTGCTATTAAATATTTTTTTTGAAGAAGTTGGAGGATATCAGAACGGCATCCAAACCAGGTTGAGGTGAATAGGCTTTGGGATCTCTACAATTACAATGCTATTAATTACTTCTGAAAAATCCTGAAAAAGATAAAGAATCTGTCTAATGTCGATTGCATTTCTAACCCCCACAAACAGAAAAAACATGACTAATAAAAATGCAAGACTGTGTATGTATGTATTTTCATTATTACATATAAGTAAACACAGTAAGAAAGCATATATTTTTTGGAGTTTCCAGAACGAATGAATCAGATTCCCATAAAAACGTTTGGTAAATTGATAATTGGTTAAGGAACAATTCAGATAGTGAACAAAGTCTTAGAATGGATTATGTTTGTTAACCGATCACCCACTGTACTCTTTCCGCCTAACTCTAATAATACTCTGATTTAACAACCTAAGCCCAAAAACAGCAGCAGTCTCAGAAACCCAAGAAATAAGCACACCCATCATCTCACTAACCTCAACATCAATCTTCATTGGGGCATCTATGTAAAAATTTGTTTCTGTTTGTTGTAATGGGGCTATGTAAATAACACACCCATCTTGAGAGAAACTTGTTAGAAAAAATTTTACACCACTATGGACTCATACTTTCATACTTAAGTGATGTTTAGATTGCAAAACCCTATTTGTCTTGCAGTTGTCGTACATATCTTTATTAAAACCTTGAAACTCATCCGAATACAGGAATACCTCGAGTTACGTTGTTTGTCAAAAAATAAACTTGATTTTTATTTTTCCATATGAGTTATTTTATTTGACTTTACGTCCGTCCGCCACAAATACTGAAGTCGTAATATCACTGTAAAAGTGTTAAAGCACATAAAATCATATTAAAATATATACATTTACAGTAAATGTTACTATAATCATCATAAATCCTTGGGAACAAAACATGAAAACTTCTGTGTTCTCATCTTATTTGGCGGTATTTAAGTGCTCAATATTGGTGTTTTCTACTGTCACAAGATAATTTTAATAACTGTATTTGTTATTTAACCTTATAAAATCATCTTATTTTATAATGTCTTAGAGCAAACCACATTCACAGATAAAGAGTCTGCGATGTACTGTAAACATCGCCAAATTGTAAACATGTATACTTACAAGTATGTACGTACATGTATTTGTAAATTTAGATTACTTACAAGTATGTACGTACATGTATTTGTAAATTTAGATTACTTTTTCTGTACTATATTAAAAACTAAAATTTATTTGTTTGTAAGCTTAAAATAGATTCTTTCTTTGTTTGTAAGCTTAAAATAGATTCTTTCTTATTAACCATATATTAATTAAAAATTCATTTATAAATAAAATACAAAACTGGAAATGGTTATTTGTGGTTTAGCCTAGTGACAAGTAAATTCGACTTATGTCGTTTTTAAGTCGCCTCTCCTGGAACCAATTACCGACGTAAGGCGAGATATACCTGTATCGGGGATTGAGAGTGGGAAACACTTTATAAAATCTTAAGTAAAATATAAAAAATAAAATCTAGATAAAAATTAAAATACAGTATATATAATAGGATTAAGGTTATCTTAGCTATCCATTTTCATCTTTTATGTAATTTCTTTAACCACATTTTATATATCGTGAACACACTATTTGTTTTAAATCAAATTGGAGCATGTGTGATAAAGTTTTAATAATTACAATATGTTCCAATTCTAATTTAAGGAGAATATTAAAAAAAAAAAAAAAGGCACTATTTGAATTTTGTATATTCTTCCTTTGCTTGAGGATGACATTTTGAAATGTTGAAAAATGTTGAAACATTTCAAAATGTCACCCTCAAGCAAAGAACTGTACTTGCGTGTATTTTGTTTGCCAAGTAAATAAATTTAAAGCTGAAAGACAGTACATTTTCTTTCTTATACTATATTTGACATTGTATGCAAGAATATAAACTTTCACAAATACATCAAATTTTATATTGCCATCATATACCATAATGGCACAGCATGCAGGAGATGATGCTAAATTTACATCAGGTGAAATCATGATTGCTCAAGCACATTTTATGGTGTCTGTAGCCATAAAATATGCTCAACCAACAAGCATGGTATGCTTTAGGATGCATGTGCAATTCACGACACTAAGAAGTTGTTCATGCTGGACATTTGGACTCATGTTTGTCAAGTGCACCCAACCGGTGACCACTATTTTAATACCTTACCCAAGACAGTAAATGAATGACCGGACAATTTGTCATTAGAGCAACTGTGGCACATTTAGTATCAGCAAGATAATGTTCTAGCAGCTCTCAGTGTAATTCTAAACTGAGGGATAGAAAATGATAGAAAATGTGGCCATGCCACATTTCCTATTCCTCAGTTTCCTCATATTCCTATCCCTATCCTATGACTCATTCCCCAGACTTGATCCCAATGGATCTTTTCTTTTGGGCTCACATAAAATCATCATTCATTTTGCCAACATTATGTTATACCAGGTCTGCTATACACCATTTAAAAAAGGACTTGTGAACAACATGGCACAGTTTGTTTTTTGCAGCCTTCTGGCAATTCTTACCTGCACCACCACGTTCAGTTAAATATCCAGATGTGCAATGCTTGTTTCA